GGAGCACAGATTATCGTCTCTAAATATCATTTCCCTCTGGGAGTAACCCGAGTTTTGGCGTAAAGACTGGATCCAGGTCTGAGGCAGGAAAAAATGAAGGTAAACTGAGACCATCTCGTCACAGAGAAAGCATAAAGCTCTCAGAGGTGATGGGGTTTCTGTCCAAATGCTCGGGGACCAGCCTGAAGAAACCAAAAGTGGGACCGTTAGAGTGTCAAAAGAAGAACGTCCGCAGCAGGTTGAAAGATGTCAGATACATAAAAACCCATAGGCTCATAATGGTCCTCAAAAATAGAGGGGGGAAAAAGAGAGAGAAATTGGTTGAAGCTCTGATTTAAACATTACCATCTTGCCACCAGGAGGCATAAACCAAGCACATGAAAACCCAAAAACTAAAGAAAGGAAAACAGGAAAATACAGAAAAGTTCTGGGAGACTTCCCTCATGGTCCAGTGGATATGACTCCGCTTTGCAATGCAAGGGACACCGGTTTGACCCCTGCTCTGGAAAGATCCCATATGCTACCCAGCAACAAAGCCCGTGCGCCGCAACTATGGAAGCCTGTGCGCCTAGAGGCCAAGGATCAGCAGCAAGAGAAGCCTCCGCAATGAAAAGTCCACGCACTGCAACTCTAGAGTAGCCCCCGTTTGCTGCATCTAGAGAAAGTCCACCAAAAGCAAGGAAGACCCAGCACAACCAATAAATAAATGTATCTTTAAAAATAATAATAATAATAAAAGACTACAAGTTTCCAATTCAGGGGATGTGGGTTCGATCCCTGGTCGGGGAACTAAGATCCTGCATGCCGTATGGCAAAAGAAAAAAAAAGTGTCATGTAACCAAGCCTAACATGGTGATTCACTTTACAGCAAATCTCGTGGAAGTGATCCCACGATGTGATTCTACAGTGCATACGAGTGATCCGAGGGGATGTGGGAAGCTGCAATTTTCCGAAATGGCACATGGTGTCGCTGTTGGAAAAGAATTCAGTGTTTCTCCCAGTTTGGGCTTCCAGAGACAATCCTGCTGAATTTTTTTTCTTGAAGACGTGAATTGTCTTGATTAAGCCACAATAGGGTCATGGTATTTTCTCCTCCACGCATAGGCAAAATCAAAAGGAGCCTGGTAGATATTTCCAACGCTTACTATTTTTTCGGGCTCCCCTCCCTTTCCTGACCACCGCCCCCAGGTGTGTTCTACAGGTGGGTGGAGCTTGTGACCGTTCTGGCCAATGGACTGTGACTAGAAGTGAAATGCGTGTCACTTCCTGGCCAAGGTCTTTAAGAGCTAGTGCGTGTTTCTCCCCACACACACGCACAGAGAAGACGCTGGGGCCACAGGCGACAAAACAAGAAAAGACAATCTAGCTGTCTAGATCTGCACTGTCCAATAAGATAGCCACGAGCCACCCTTGCCATGAATTTGAATGTCAGTTGAAATAAAGTAAAATAAAAACTCAGTTCCAGACTTGCCTGGTGGTCCACTGGCTAAGAATCTGCCTGCCAATCAGGGGACCCAGGTTCGATCCCTGGTTTGGGAAGAGTTCACATGTCTCGGGGCAACTAAATCTGTGGGCCACGACTACTGATGCCTGCATGCCTAAAGCCTGTGCGCCACAACAAGAGAAGCACAATGGGAAGCCTGTGCCCCACAGCTAGGGAGTAGCCCCCACTCATCACAACTAGAGAAAGCAGGAGCACAGGTATGAAGACTCAGCACGGCCAAAAATAAATGAATTAATTAAAAATTCAGTTCCTCAGTCACATCCACCACCTTTCAAGCTCTCCATAGCACCATGTGGCATGTGCCCAGTGGCCACCGTGTTGGACAGAGCAGATACAGAGAAATTCCATCATCACAAAGACCTACCGGACAAACGCTGCTCTAGGTCTCGGAATGGGTGCAGGGAGACACCTGCCCTGAAGATGGCCTTGCATGTGCTGGGTTAACCCATTGAGATTTGGGTTTGGCTTTGTGTGTTTCCACGGAAGCATAACCCAGCCTAGCCTGACCCCCTAGATTTCTTGCTTAAACAAAGGACTTGAGAGTCTTGTGTTATTTAAATTACCAACTGGTGGCAAGATGTGTCATAGCTAAACCAAAGGCAGAGCTGAAGGTAACACCACGCAGGCTCCAGTGGGGTTAAGATCAAGCTTCCTTGAGTCCTAGTCCACCTACCTGGTTTAGACCTAAACCGCCAGAATTTACTGAATTGTCAGAATTGTCACCAATGAAGATGAGTGAGGGCTTTGCTTCTTGTTGATACTATTGATGGTTGTCATGGGAGTTTTTCCAGATGATACTGGGTATGGATCCACGGAGCACAGGTGCATTTGGCTCAAGGGGTGAAATGACTTCATGTCTGTCCTCCTAGAATGAGTGACATTTTTTTAGTTCATTGGGTTATATTTGAAATAAGTGCAGACTTTGTGGCCACCAAAGGCATTAAGACTTTCTCGAGGGAATCTTCTGGTAGTCCAGTGGCTACAACTTTGCGCTCCCAAGGCAGGGGGGCCCTAGTTCAATCCCTGGTCAGGGAACTAGATCCCACATGCTGCAACTAAGACCCAGTGCAGCCAAATAAACAAGCAAAAACAGAGTTCCTCAAACAAAAACAGAGTTCCTCAAACAAAAGAAAAAAAAGTTCCTCAATTCTGAGTGAATCTAATGGTCTTCACATGACCTTCTGCCAGGAAATTTCTTTTTTAAAAAATCATTGCTGTTGACCCAGCTGTTCCACTCCTATCTGCCCAAAAGAACTGAGAACTGGTGTTTAAACAAAAAAACTTGTACACAGAAGTTCACAGAAGCCCTATTCACAGTAGCCAAGGAATATAAACAACCTAAATGTTCACCAATTTAGGTGGTGAAATGGTGGTCCACAGAGTGGAAAATCATTCGGCCATAAAAACGAATGACGTGCCGATCATCACGACATGGATGAACCTTGAGAATATTACGCCAAGCAAAAGGAGCCAGACACAGACCACACATGTTGCATGATTCCATTTTTATGAAATCTCCTGATAGGGAAATCTACAGAAAGCAGATTACTGGTTGCTCTGGGGCAGGGGCGGGGGGGGGGGGGGGGGGGGAGGCGGTGCTGGGGACCAGAGGGGTGCTCAGTACTGTAGGGGTGCCCAGAGTGTGAGGGTCTCTCCTTGAGGTGGTGAAAATGTTCCAAAGTTGACCATGGTGGTCTTCCCTCAAACTAAATTGAGGTGTGTACAGAAGGACATCAGTGGCCAGACTGCCATCACTCTTACCGTCTTGCCACATGAGAGATTCAAGAAGTGGGCCCGAGAGACTCCCAGGCCCTTCCCAGTGTCCTCACACTGGCAGAAGCACCTGGCCTCCGAAGGTCCAGGCTCAGACCTGACGTGGTTACGTCTGCCTCACTCCACTGGCCAGAGCAAGTCACGGGATCAAACTCAAAGCCAGGAGGTGAGCACAGTCAAGGGGGCAAGGCAGACGTGAGCAGGGGTGAAACATGAGGGACACGGTCCAACACACCACCCAGCACTTTTCTCCCAATCACTGCATTCACCTCCTGAACACAGGAACCAGGAACCCGCCTCACCCTGGAGGACGCACACCCGAGACAGCTCCAGGGGGCGTCTATAGAGACCACCTCCACCTTGGCTTGAGGGGCCACTGAGAAGCCCAACCCTGAGTTGGTCCTAGCTCCGTACTCCCAAGTCACTAATGTCCTGGAGTGGAGACCAAGGGGAGGAGGTTCCAGGAGCAAAATGGACACACAGACACAGGCCTGTTTTGTTAACCGCATCACCATTTATTGAGCTGTGAACTGTTGCCATCACTGCTGAAATCTGAGACTCACTCATCCTGATCCTCCTCTCAGCTTCCCCTTGAAAAGGAAGCCTGGAGAGGGACCACCCCAAACACCATAGGGTAGAAGGGAAGACATGGGCCGGGTGGGGGGTGGGGGGAGATGCAGGGAGATGAGGGACGGGGAAGGCAGCAGGAACAGCGTGCGGGGACACACACGCACTCCCACACACACACACAGGCAAAGACCAGGGGTGTCCATCTCTGCTCCAACCGGCGGCCGGGAGAACATCAGGGAAGGACCAGGCGTCCAAGAGACATTTCAGTCCTTCCTGTCATGAAGCGTCTGCCGGGAGGGGCTGGGCCACAGTTACTGGTCTGTGCGGAGAAGAGGCGAGGAGGGGGGTTCAGACTACCGGGAGAGGCTGGATGAAAGCCAGTTGCTTCCCTGCCCTTCATCTTAAGCTTTCCCTGTAATAAACTCTAACCAGGAGTGGAACAGCTCTGCTGTGTTCTGAGTCCTGCAAGAATCGCTGAGCCTAAGGGGGGATTTCGGGGCTCCTGAAATTGTACTCAACCTGTGAACAAGAGTCACTCCTTCCCTTCTCTTTTATATGAATCCCATCTTGGCTTATCTTAGATAAAATCATCATTGGTGGACTTCTCTAGAATCCAAGCAAACCTCATGTTAATTTAAGCAAACACCTTTGAGTGACTGACAGTGTGGAGGTGGCAAATGGTGTGTTTCTGCAAGGGATGTGCTCCATTTAAGAATTCAAGTCCCCCTCAAAGGGGCACCCCCTCCCTCCTGACAGCAACAGCCCACAGGTAGCCAGCTCATGCTGCCCTGGAATTATGGAATTTTTTTTTCCTTTTTCTTTGTGCATTTTTTTTTTTTTTTGGAATTATGCAATTCTTGATTTTTTTGTGTAATTTGGGGAGACTCCCTCCTTTTCAAACCTGCATAAGAGGCAAGGCATTCCTATTTTTGTACTGCATTAATTCAAATCTGCAGGTCAAATTTCCCACTGAAAGCGGCCTCATTCTGCTCCGGTGAGCATGACGACAAACAGAACTCGAGGTCAAAAACTTGCTCTCCGTGTCCACGTAGCCATCGCCTCCCTGCAGAAGGGAGGACCAGGAGACGGGTGGGCCAATCCCAGTCCCAACCCCCCAATGGCCCCCAGTGAGGCAGGATGGACAGACATACCTTCTTGGAGTGAACCAGCTTTCCTGCTACGAACACTTCAAAGAAGCCGGTGACCTGGGGAGTCCCCTCACCGCACTGGGGAGAAGGAAGAGATGCTGGAGGGGTAGAGACGCCCCCTTGCAGACATCTGCCCCTTCTCAGGGAAGGGAGAACACGGGGGGAAAGAGGGGCTGACCCAAACCACCCCCGCTGCCACCAGGGCTGAGGGACAGACAGACAGAACCCACGTCTGACTCCTTCCCCTTCCCCGAGACTCACGATGTCCAGACGGCTAGGGAACTCATCTTCTAACTTCTTCTTGAGCTGAAGATACTGGAAAGGGGTGGGTGGTCACACCGGGGCCCACAGGAGCCACGTGGGTGCCCCACCTCCCCACACCGGGGCTAGCCCCCCTCCCCCACTTTCCAGGGAAGCCTCTTGGGACCACATCGCTTACCTTGGGCTTGTAGCCTCAAGCGCCACTGGTGGGAGCGTATCCAAGAAAGTGGGTCCCAGGAGAGAAGGAGGGGGACAGTGGAGATCCAGGGAGGGGAGAGAGAAGGGGACAGCGGGGATCCAGGGATGGGAGGGGAGAGGCAAGGCAGGCAAGGAGACGGAGGCAAATGGGGGGAGGAAGCAGGAAGAGATGAAGAGGGACATGGATGATACGAGGAGGAGACAGACACTCTCAAAAGAGGAAAGACAAGGGGGTACACGGCGGGGGGGTGCAGCCCAGAGATGGGGAAGCACAGGAAGAGAGCCAACCACACGAGGAAAACGCATAGAGCAAGGGAGACAAGAGACAGCATTGGGGGGGGGGGCAGTGCACAGAATCAGGGGCGACAAGGAGAAACCACAAGCGCGAGGCAGAGGGGAGAGGGAGGCAAAATGGAGAGCCAGGTCAGGATGAGAGCTGCCCAACAGCAGCAGCCCCACCCACAGCAGTTTGCAGGATTCCCAAGGCCCTCCAAGGCCTGAGGGTGAACGAAAACCGCCTCCCCACCTCCCCCCACCCCCCCTCTGCAGACTATTTCGGGACCGGAGTCTGGGGCACAGGGGAGGCGCCTCAAAATGTCACTCTACCTCTGCTTGACTCAGGGGGCAGGAACACTGCTCACTAACGCAGGGACAGACCTGAACCTTTCAAACCCCCAGGCAGGGACCCTCCTCCCCCGCCCCAAGTGGACCTTTCAAACAGGCCAGCCAACAGACCCAGGTGCGGGTTACCCCTGTGATCCGCCCGTGCCCCACTCCCAGCCTCGGTTTCCGCACTTGTAAAATGGAGCTAAAATCCCTGCCCTGGGAGTTTCTGAGAAAGGAAATTCAGGGAACATGTATTTATTAAGCGCCCACAGGCCAGCATGCCTGTGCAGGTCAGTACAATCCAAGGCGCCAGGGCTATGACACCGTCCAAGGGACGGAACACTTCCTGCCGAGCAGACACGTTTTCACCCTTAAAGCGGGCAATTAGATCAAATGTGTAACACCCAACACACCGCGCTCCCTCCGCCATAACCATTAAGACGACAGGCTAGAGGGGTGGGAGGGAGCGGACATATGCACACCTGCGGCCAATTCATGGTGACATATAGCAGAAACCAACACAATATGGTAAAGCAATGATGTTACAATTTAAAATAAATTTCAAAAAAAAATCATTCCCTCTACGGATGGGAAAAGTGGGGTCAGAAAACGAGGAGGGTTAATAGCAAAAAAGCATCCACCGTCTGGGTTTGAGTCCTTGCCCAACCCAGGCCGGGACGATCTGGAACCTTCTGACTCTGGCCGGCCCCACCCGGGAGACCGAAGCGCCCAGGGAGGTTCCTCTTGCATTACAAACCGACCCCCACCTGCTCCCCACCCTGAACCCGGGAATCGGAGGCGGGGGAGGGGTTTAAAACGACACACACATGTCTCAGTTCTACCTTTTAGGACCTGAGACGTCTAGAATGTCACAAATTGGGGACGGGGGGGGAGATCTGGAACCTTCTGACTCTGGCCGGCCCCACCCGGGAGACCGAAGCGCCCAGGGAGGTTCCTCTTGCATTACAAACCGACCCCCACCTGCTCCACACCCTGAACCCGGGAATCGGAGGCGGGGGAGGGGTTTAAAACGACACACACGTCTCAGTTCTACCTTTTAGGACCTGAGACGTCTAGAATATCACAAATTGGGGACGGGGTGGGGGGGCGAGAAATCAACGTCCCCTGTTTTCCGCCTCCTCCCACGCCCACCGCACCCACACGGAACCCTCTCCCCAGTGCAAGGTTCTCCAAGGGGCCTGCCCCCACCCCCCCGCCGCGCACCCCCGACTCCCCCAGAGCCCAGCTCCGCCGGGACAGGGCGGGGCCCGGGCGGGATTCGAAGAGGGCACCTCTGGCCCGCGTGCTCACCAATAAACCACTCGGACGACTACCGCCATCGCTCCGGACCGCGGTGCCCGCTGCGGCGCGGACTCACGATCCGAACCCGGGCGAGGCAGGGCGACGTCTGCGCCCGGGTGGGGCGTGAGATTGGTATATTTTTAAAAGCTAATGGGATTCAGCCATTTTACTCCTAGGTATTTACTCCCCCTACATAAAAGCATGTGTCNGGGCACCCTGCCGCCCACCTCCCTGAGCCCCCCACGCAAATCTCCCCCTCGCCCGCTGTGAAGCCAGGGAAAACCCCGGCTGAGGGGGTCCTCAGGAGAGCCCTCTGCGCGCCCTGCACCCGGCCCCCCCCTCCTCTGAGCCAGAATGGTGCGGTCTCGTGGGGCGGGGGTTCAGGCCCAATCGCTACTGGTTGCAAACGGAATTGCAACTGACCTTGCTCGTTTCGCTGCGAGGACCTTGAGGGCGGCCTGAGAGGGAGAGGGGGCCGACTTCGAAAGGATTCTGGGTACACGTGGGCAGCCCCTGAAGCTGAGGTTTTTTTCAATGAGCGGTCCGGGGGACCCGCTGCCTTATTAAAGCCTGGCATCCAGACCCGGGCGCCGTCTGATCAGCACTGAAGTCTCGGCCTCGCTAATCCACCCACCCTTTGGCGCCTTCCAGACCTCTTCGAGGCAAGGGGTTCATGGAAAGTGCTAGAAGTTGGCAGCTGAGTTATAAGGGCTTAGAAAGCCGATGCATCTCTCTGAGCCTCAGTTTCCTCTTCCGGGCATAAATGCCTTCAGATACTGTTTACCCATTTAACAAATACCTATTGGGTACTTTGCTGCAGCCAAAGGTTCTGAAGATACAGCTCACTTCAGTCACTCAGTCGTGTCCAACACTTTGCGACCCCATGGACTGAAGCAGGCCAGGCTTCCCTGTCCATCACCATCTCCCAGAGCTTGCTCAAACTCATGTCCATTCAGTCGGTGATGCCATCGGAAGATACAGCAATGAAAAAATAGCCAAAGTCCCTGCCCTCAGCCCTGCCGGAGCTCTTCCCTCCCCAGCTTCCGTCTTTGACTCCCTGATCCTCACCTGCGGTGATCCTGATATCTTGGGACTCGTGGCAGACTAGGTTCAATTCCCACCCCCCATTGCTGCCAGCTGTGTGATCTCAGTGGTCTTGGGCAGGTATCACTATAACCAGCCTGTGATGCCGAGCAGTTAACACGCAGCCGGGCGTAATCAGTGTCCCATAATCAGGTGTCTTTCAGGCTCCCAGGGTGCTCAGAACAAAAACCCAAGCCTCAACTCTGATGCTGGGAAAGATTGAAGGCAGGAGGAGAAGGGGATGACAGAGGATGAGATGGTTGGATGGCATCACTGACTCGATGGGCATGAGTTTGAGTAAGTTCCAGGAGTTAGTGACGGACAGGGAGGCCTGGTGTGCTGCAGTCCACGGGGTCTCAAAGAGTCGGACATGACCGATCGACTGAACTGAACTGAAGGGGAAGCTTGGCCCCCCCAAAAAAAACCGCAACAAAATAACCCAAGACTTGGCATGCCCCACTCCTGATTGGTCCCATTGTTTCCTCGGGTCCCTCTCAGCGCCCTAGCCACAAGGAATCTTGGACCTCATCCACTCACCCACCTCTGGGCCTTTGCATAGCTATTTCTACCCTCCCCTGCTGCCTGATCCTGCTCATCCTCCAGGAATCAGTTCCAACATATTGTAGGAGAATTTTTGTGTCTCAGTAAACTGCCTTCTCCATATTATTAATACATCTGTTGCTGTTGTTCAGTCGCTAAGTTATGTGGTCACTCTTTGCGATCCCATGGGCTGCAGCACACAAGGCTTTCCTGTCCTTCACTATCTCCTGGAATTTGCTCAAACTCTTGTCCATTGAGTAGGACAACCATCAACCAACAACCATCTGGTCCTCTGTCGCCCCCTTCTCCTCCTGCCTTCAATCTTTCCCAGCATCAGGGTCTTTTCCATTGAGTCGGCTCATCATATCAGGTGGCCCAAGCATTGGAGCTTCAGCTTCAGCATCAATCCTTCCAATGAATATTCAGGGTTGATTTCCTTTAGGACAGACTGGTTTGATTTCCTTGCTGTCCAAGAGACTCTCAAGAGTCTTCTCCAGCACCACAGTTCGAAAGCATCAATCTTTTGGCACTCAGCCTTCTTTATGGTCCAACTCTCACATCTGTACATGACTACTGGACTGAGTTTGCTAATCATCACTGTCATCCCTAAGCACCAGAAACCAAGTGGCTTAAACCACAGACATTTATCTCATGGTTCTAGAGGCCAGAAGTCAGCAGTCAAGGTATCAGCAGGGTTGTTTTCTCCTGAATGCTGTGAGAAAGAATCTGTTCCTGCTTCTCCCCTAGCTTCTGGTGTTTGATTGGCAGTCTTTGGTGTTCCTTGGCTTATAAGCGCATCACCCAGTTTCTGCCTGCACATTCATATGACCGTCTCCCAGTGCACATGTGTGGGTCTAAGTTTCCCCAGTTTGTAAGGACCCAGTCATTTTAAGTTAGGGCCCGCCCTATGCCAAATGACCTCCTCTTCACTCATTACATCTGCAACAACCCTATTTCCAAACAAGGTCACATTCTGAGCTTCTGGGGATTAGGACTTCACAGATGAATTTTGGGTGGGAGATAATTCAAATTGTAACCAGTCATTCAGAGTTACCTGATTCTATGGGGTCTGTTTTACAACTCCATAAACTGTAGGTAAGTGATGGCAACACAAGATACATCTGTTTTTGTTTGGTTGTTCGCATTTTTTTTTTGGGGGGGGGGAGGTTGCCGTGCCATGCAGCATGTATGGGATCTTAGTCTTCCAACCATGATGGAACTCACGCCCCCTGCATTGGAAGCCCAGGGTCTCAACCACTGGATTGCCAGGGAAATCCCACGATAAATCTTCTGTAGAGGTATGCACATAAATTCTGGCTGGAAGGAAAACCCTACCTCCCTTAGTCCATTTAGGTTGCTATGACAGAATTCTACAGCTTATATGCTTATAAACAACAGATATGTATTGCTTCCAGTTATGGAGGCTGGGAAGTCCAAGATCAAGCTGCCAGCATGGTTGAAGGAGGACCTTCTCGTGGTTCATAGTTGGCACCTTCTCACTGTGACTTCACCAGGTGGAAGGGACTGGGGATCTCCCTGGAGCCTGTTTTCTAAGGGCACTAATCCCACTCACGAGGGCTCCACCTTCATGACTTCAGCACTTCCCAAAGACCCCACCTCCTCATACCATCATCTTTTGGGAACAGAATTTCAACATATGAATTTGGGGGAAACACAAATTTTGAGACCATAAGACGCCCCCACCCCCTGCAGGATGTTTTGCCTCTACTTGCATTTTTGATTCACTATCTCTGATCTATAAATGCGTCCTCTTTTTTTTAACTTTTTATTTTTTGGCCACATCCATCCAGGAATTGAACCTGCAACCCTGCACCAGAGGTGCGGAGTCTTAGCCACTGGACTTCTAGGGAAGTCAGTGTGCCTTTTCCTTGAGTCTCCTCTGAACCAGTTGTGACACTTCACAGTGGTAAATGAAATCTTTAACACGTGTTCACTTTTAGATCTGTATGAGTCTTGGTTTCCCCAAAGTCTCTTCCCCGAGTCTTTTCTCCCCAAAATTATCTTCTAACAATGCTGTCCTCAAGGAAGCCCACCCACACCCCTCAGGCTGGCCAGGGTCCCTATAGGGCTCCCCCATCACTACCCCACCCACTCTGGTTGTCCCCAGTCCGACATTCTCAAACACACAGCAAGTGGCTGGGCACAGGGAAAATGCCCAGAGGCTGTTTTGTTGACCGGATTTAAGGCTGAGAATTTGCCAGGGGCCTGAAGAGTGAAACACCCCCTCTCTGCCACTGAGAACAAAGAGGTCTCTGTCGCCAAGAAGTGGGGGAGGCTGGAGGCATTAGTCATGGCTCTGGGGCTGGGAAACCATTCCTTGCTTGCTAGCTCTCCCTCACACACACATGTGTACACACACACACACACACACACACACAAATGGTAACACACAGCTCTCACCCTCATCTGGCTAAACCACTGCACGTCCAGACAAACCACAGCCCAACCAGAGACACAACACAACACAGCACACACCTCTCTTCTGCTTCACAACGACACAAAAACACACTAACTCTCAACACACAACAGCCCAGCCCATACCCAGCGGGATCACAACATCAACACCTCCAAACGCGCAACTCACAATGACTGACACCTCTCCTCGGCCATGCGGCGGAACACGCAAATGTACCCTGGACGCACAATAACACAACACACCCATATACAGCCAGAGCTACAGCAGCCCACCCTGAGATCCTGCTCACTGGGACACACAATTATATACAGAGCACAAACCGCTGGATTTGGTCCGGGATGCTGATACACAACCGCACAGCTGCACACACAGGATCATTAATGCCCCCTGACGTACGCACACAGCAACAGACAGCTCCACCTGCTCCCAAGAGACAAAGGCACACAATTACACAGTGATACAAGAGCACACGTCACCATGGCAGGGGCAAGACACACAATGAGACTATACAACCACAGTGCTACGCTGGGAGGCAGACCCCAGCACACAACAGTACAACCACACACACACAACATTAACTAACACAATAACCCAGCCAGACTCTCCCTGGGATGCGTCTGGACTTGAACACCATCGCACAACCACACACCACCCCAGGGACACAGTCAGGCAGAAACACTGCAGCCCAATTACACGGCGCACAGAGGCTCCCACCCACAGCCTCACGGTGACCCACACCCAAACTCCGCAGGCTCGGGGTCACAGAGTAAGCAGGCATGGTCCCTGCCTTCTGGGACTCATGTTATGGTCAAGGAGACAGACACAGGAAAACAGAAATAAACAGGGATTTCGAGAGGCTGTCACGAGTGCTGGGAAGAAAAATAAAGCCAGGAAGGATGGTGGGGAGTTTCATAAACAGATCAGGGAAGGCAGCTCTGTTATTAATAAGGGCAGCCAGCCCTT